AACTAAAGAGAAGGGAAATGGGCTAGATGTGTCTTTGATAGAAGAAATAATATTTCAAGAACTGAATACCATTTTGCATCACCCAGAAATGGCTAGCAAAAAATCATCAACATCGGAAAATACACTCTTGTTCAATAGCATTAAATAATTTCTAAGAGCTGTAATTCTCTCATCTTTCTAAAAGGATCTTACAAAGAAAACATGGAGAGAACTAAAAGTCCTTGGGGAAACATAATACTATTTCTACAGTTTTCATTTGGCAGACTGAAACTTATAACTGCTAGAGATAAATTCTTAGATGCAGTGCCTCCTGAATGTACTTTACGATATAATGGTATCTGTTGACTTTCACAAATATACTTTCTATCTCTTCTGTGAGAAGAAAAGAATATGCATTTATTTGAAAACTTTTAGAAAGGCTGTGATACTCTGAACTTTATCTTACATTTTTTCTTTAAAATGCATAGTATAGCTACTTTATAATAACATTCTCTAAACTGGTGCCTGCCAGTTTTAGATTGCAACACTTGGTCTTTTTATATTAAATAAATAATATATAAATCTTCCCTGCTGAAAGTCTGATAAAAACTATAGTCCAAAACACTTGGAGATTAACACAAAGCTGTTTAGTATCCCTGGAAAATTGGAAGCTTTGCCTCTGATTTCCTGATTCTAAGTTCTTAGCTTAAAGAAAACGTAAATTCCCAAATGAAATCTGTAGATCTGTCATCATTCAGCACTGCTTTAATTCTGAAGTAAAGAATGGCTGGGACTGCAGTGTCCAATGATTAATTGATAATACCTTCCTAGGACTGTAGCATTGAACAAAATGTTAAAAGCAGCCAGGAATGTCTTCAACTAGCCATAGATAAAACATTCAGCATAAGCCCAATCAAACAAACGTTTGCAAGTATTCTCTTAAGAATAGCATGCTAAGTCAGACCAAGGTTTATCTAATAAGGCAATGCACTGCCACAGTGGCCAGTTGGATGGCTGTTAGTAGCCAACAAACAGGACATAATTACAATAATATCCTCTTGTTCATGTTCTGTGCAACTGGTATTGAAAATCATACTTCTGATACCATAGCTGTTATTACTAATACTCATTAGCAGGCCTTCCCCCCCCCCCCGTGGACTTTTTTCAACCAACTGATTGGTTGAATAAATAAAGTTTTTCTTCCTTAATCAAGGAAGAACCTTAAGCCTGACCGCTGGGAGCACCATAACACAAGTGTCCTGTAGGATCCCACAATTAGTTAAGTAGCACATCATCTACTAGAAACTCAGAGTCACTTGCTGAGATGGGCCACTATAGAAATCAAATAAATAAATGAACAAACAAACTCTTACTCTTAACAAAAATCCAAGAAGCTGATCTATTTTCAAAACCTGTACCTTTGCAACTCAAAGAGGAAGAGTTGTTTGCTGGTTTATCTGAAAGTGTTGGTTTATAGAAAGGTTCTTTAGGAACAAAGCTTTGCATATCCTGGATTGTAACTTCTCTTCTTACTTGAATTCCATGCTTGAATTCCATTTGTTTTTCATTTTTGTGTGCCACAGCTGGCCCAGGAAAGCAAATGGTTGCCATGATATCATGGTACTCCTAGATATAGTTAACTAATCCTCTAGTAGACTATTATTTTTGGTTTTACACTGGAATTAGGGCATTTGTTCCCTTTATTGGTATGTCTTCTTGGAAAATGCTATTGCAAATACTTCAGCAGAATTAAAGAAGACTTTTAAGCCATCTGCTTTTATACTGTACACACACACATACACAGGAAACTATTCCTTTAATCCTTAGGATTCCCACCAATATATAATTCAGTTTACACCTCACCAGTCACTTAGCCCAGTAAACTTGTATTTGTGTGTATATATGCTTAGCAGCTTAGCATTTAGTAAGCAAGCTTTTTAGTACTTTAAAGTAGTTTTATTATCTTGCTATTTTTCATATGTGTGTTTTATTAATAGTTTTAAAATTAATATTCTATTTATATACCATTATTATGAATAATTTATTTTGCTTTCTATTGATTTTAGATTTTGTGCTTTTTAATTTGAACTTTAACTTTTCATAACAGTTGTACAAAATGCTAATGACTGTAACAATAAAGATCACATATACTCTACAGTATGAACATAGAAGGCAGAATCACCACTTTCAATCTGTATTATCTTATATTCTATAATCTTCTCTAGTATCTGAACTTTTGATAGAGGCATGAACATAAAGGAAGTCGTCCCTTAACAGCCATTCATTTAGCAACTGTTTGAAGTTACAAAGGGGCTAAAAAAGCTACTTACAACCAGTCCTCACACTTAGGACTGTCACAACACCCCCGCGGTCATGTGGTCACAATCCAGGCACTTGGCAGCCAGTTCGTACTTACGACGGTTGCAATATCCCGCAGTCACAGGATTGCCATTTGCGACCTTCCCAGATGGCTTCCAGCAAGCAAAATCAATGAGAAACCACACAATTCGCTTAACAACCATGGTGATTTGCTTAACGACCGCAAGGACTACCTGTATTTAATTCTCATTTAGAGAACATTTGAGCCTGCGGTGCTGCTTGGGTTACAGAAGGAGCTTTTGAAAAACTACTTCCAAATACAACAATTAAATGCTGGGACAGTAAAATATTTTCAAAAGAATCACTAGACAGTGAATTGTACTGTTCCTTCCTATGTAATATTTGGGGGTTTTGTTTTGTTTCTTTTGACAGCAAAATCCATGGAGGCTGTTAGATCAGTATTAGACCAAGGTTGATGAGGACCCAGTCTTTTGTCCAAAGCCAAGATTTTTTAAAATTGTAATTGCTTTCTAATTTGCTCTCTGGTCTGCAGGGAGAGAAAAAAAATTCCAGCACCACTGTGACCCTCCAGCTGTTGTGGGGAACTCAGCATTCCCAATCAATATGGCCAATTGTTAGAGATGCTAGGAGAAGTAATTTGGGAATAACTTGAGGACCAGAGATTCTCCTTCCATGCTGGATTAATTTCTCTGTAGGCCCAACTGCAATTATCAGAGAAAGATAAGGAGTAAAAAGGTTTGCTTTGTCTGTTAATCAACTGAACTACCTGAGGAATACAAAATTGGGATACAACTTGAAATCATAATCATCATCGTTATCTTCCTCCTTTTCACAGAGCTGTGGAAATATTTCTGCAGACTCCTACAGATATTCCAGCCTTTTGACAGATCTCATTCTGGCCAAAAGATCATTTTTGCTGCTGCCAGCCTGTTTTCCTTACAGTATTTCACTGAGCTGCTTGCTATGCACTTCTGGTTTCTTTTATAAGTAAATCTTCTTTTGATTTGAAAGAGCTACAGAATTCTTCTTATACCAATTCATTTTTTTTACAAACAGGATCAACATTCTGATTTATTTCTGGTTCTACAACTAGGGATAACTTTATTGTTCACAAGAATATTTTAATTAAACAAGAGCCATATTATGATTCCAGTGCTCTATCTTGTGCTATAGCAAGTATGAAGCAGTACCTTTTCCAAACTTGCTGACTCTTGCTTTTGAACTCTGGATAATACTATAATTGCTTCATAAAAGTATTGTAATGCCAAGCAGAGTCTGAAGATAAGTTATACTATATATTCAAGTACAACGCAATATACAGGTAGTCCTCATTTAGCGACCACATTTGGGACCAGGAAATCAATCATTAAGTGAAGCAATCGCTAAGTGAAACCACGACTGTGCTTATGATCTTACTTCAGCTTTATTTTGCTTTACAGACCTGTGAAGGTCGTAAGTGTGAGAATTGGTCATAAAGTTACTTTTTCAGTGGAGTCCTTGGTGTTCTCTGAGCTTGGTTGTTTTCTTGCAGATGTTTCATTACTTGACTAAGTAACATCTTCAGTGCTAGAAGGGAATAGGGTTTGTTCTCTGCTTATATACCGTAGCTTGCTCTGTCAGTGTTGGTGGGAATGTGGCTTTTTCCTTGGTAGTTCCTTGATTAGGCTGTTGTTTACTGCTTAATTGTTTGTCTTGTGTTAATTCTGGTGTTAATCCCTGCTTATCTGTATGTTCGCTGCTGGAGAGGATGTGTTCTGGTCTTTTTGTTTCCTTTTTAGCTTTTTTATTGTCTCTTTTGAATGGTGTGTAAATATAGTTTATCTCTATGTGCCTGTTGATAGCTGACTTGTCTGAATATCAAGCTTCCAGGAATTCCCTCATGTTTTTGGATTTAGCTTGGTCTAGCATGCTGACAGTTTCCCAGTTGAAACTAGGGCTGAGTCTGTCCATGTGTTATGAGATTCAGCCATCATATATTCTCTTCTATTAGTTACTTTTTCATTGTTTGTCACTAAACGAGGCAGTCACTAAACAAGGAGTACTTGTAATTCATATTACCAGAACGAATGTGTTTATTCCAAGTTAGTGTCCGGCTCAAAATGTATTCTAGCTCAGTGTTTCTGAACCTCAGCAGCTTTATGATGTGTGGACTACAACTCCCAGAATTCCCCAGCCAGCATGGGTGAAGTCTACATATCTTAAAGCTGCTGAGGTTCAGAAACACTGAGCTAGCTTACAGCATCCCTAAATTTGGCCATAATTTTCCTTCTGCTGATTCCCAAGAGCAAAAGTGGATTTATACAGAGCCATTTCCATCTGAACAGTGTTGAATATAAAGCACCACTCTTTCACTGATTGATAAACCAGATTCTCTGGGAGCAACTTTTGTGGGTGTTGTATGACAATCGTGATAACTCGAAAAGATTTCCACTCTAATAAAAACAGCTATGATCAAAAAGGCAATAGCTGTATAAATTATACATCCAGGTGAGCATGAAACAGCCACTAGTCCAACTGAGGCCTCTCAGTCTTAGCGTGACTGCAGGAGTCCTCAATCAAATGTGAACAAACTTTTAATGATTTAAACAGTTATTCTCAAAAGCAAGAGACAATCTTTTTCTAGGTCAAATGTGTTTCCCCTCCTATCATTAATTTATCAAGCATATAGACTAAAAACTTACAGTCACGATCAGCCCCTTTTCCTGGAAATATTTGACCAGCGGAACAGTATTCTGCTTGAAATTAGTCAGGCGTCTCTGTGTAGCTTTAAGATTATCATCTGGCCTTCCCTGCTGTTCAGCGCGTTTCATTAGTCGTTCTTTCAGCCTCTGATTTGAGCAGGACAAAAACACCACCAAATCTGGGGTACAGATCTGCAAAGAAGGTAATCCAAATGATGGAAAGATCAACTTAGAGCAATTTATTCAGGTTACTGTCAATCATCCCTCTATATATTGCTGTGAACCACCAACATTTGCCATTTTTCAAGAGCTTCAGTAAACACTGAATCCTTAAGTATTTTGTCTGAAAAGAAATTGGGGGTGTGTGACTGTTAACATTCCAAGGGTAGTCTTTTCCTTCTGAAATGTAAAATGTGTTGAGGATGACTGATACATCCATAGTGGCAGCCACACTGTGGAAACTAACAGAAGAAAGAAGCTTCTCTTTTCTCCCTCTGCTGCTCCCCAATGCTTGTAGCTACAACTTGGTAAGAAAGAGCAATTTGTCATTCCTTTTTTGGTTTGAAAGAAATGTAACCCCAGCTGGTAAGGAAGCTGCAGGAAATGACACCCATTGGCATCTAGAAGTGCATGCATGAGGATGCCCCTATGGCATGAAAACCTTAGAAAAAGAAAAGACAGGACCGCCCCACATGATTTTGGAACACCCATTCCTGCTGCTCAGCCCAAAGGCACTCGACATGGACTGTGTCGGGCATGTTCTCAGTAATAAGGGCTGTTTATAATAACACAGCAGGAATAAATAATCGTAATTGAACTGAGCGTCTTTTACCAAAGTGATTCTTGGGTTCCAATCTTAATGCTGATATTTATGTTTCACGATGTATGATGGGAGTAATTATGTTCTTTGAAAAGGATTGAGCGGAATGAAGCTGTTGCAAATAATTGGCCCAATGAATAGAGTGCATATGAAATAACAGGATAACCTAGGCAGGCATACAATTAAAAGATACTGAGGGAGTTTATTTTAAATTGTTTACTGGGAAAGACAAATATCCAGGACAGTTTGTCATTTCCTAAGGAGTGCAGTGTTAGCGCTATTAGCATTTGGAAAGGAAATGTTTAAAAATGGGGTGGATTGCCTATTAAACATTGGCAAAATTAGCTAATGTTATAAAAGGGAATGCATTCAGAAGTGATGTGTGTAATTATTTAGAGAGAAGCTTGTATCCCATGTACATTTTCTTCTTACTCAACCCTATTTTGCTGTCCAGAGCTTATACATCACACTCCTACCATTAATCTTGACAGTTTGGTAAATATATTATTAAATATACTGCTAGCCAACTGAGTGTTATTATTACAATTGCTATGTGAGTAAAAATGACATCATTGCTTCACAGAAGCATTTGCAGATTTGGGTAGGATCTACAAGTTTACCAAAATGCAAAAGAAAAAACCTTATTAAAAAAAATAAGGAATTTGCTGGTGATAGGAAATCCTCAAAACTGGAAATGCTTGAAGGCCAGAAAGGCTGAGTGACTTTGGGAAGAAAATAAGAAGGTTGAAAGGGAACACTGCATATATATAAATTAATAACAATCAGTATTAATAAACTGAATGAATATGGTTGGTTAAAATACCAATCAAGAGCAATGAAATACTATGTTGCCAGGCCAACTAATATTTGTTATTATTATTAATAATGTTGTCTTATTAGTCAGGAAACTGAATAGTTCTATGTTGACATGCAACATCTTCTTGGCATAACACCCCCCCTCCAAAAAAACCCATAACAATTATAGGAGATGAAAAAGTTAACATATAGTATAGTTATTTGCTGCAAATAGCTGAAGAAAGGCCCAAAGCAAAAGGCAAGAGAAGCAGGGGAAAAAAAGTTGCCCAAGTAATGTTATGTTCCAGAGAAGAAACAAGGAATGCAAAGAAACTAAGTATAATAACTAATGGGAAGAACAAAAGGTTAATTTAAGAAAATTACAGAAATGAAAAGAACATGTTCTGCAAATATGGGCATGATAAATATGAAGAAGGCAAAGATCTACAGAAAAAAAATTACAAAGAATTGTCTTGTATATATGAAAAAACGAAGAAGAGATTCCAAAACTGACAATATGTAAAAGGTTTGATTACTGAATTAAAGCGAGGCATTCTAGTTGTAGAAATGCTAGCAGAACATTGGTTCAAAACTGGGAAATGAATGTGGTAAGATTATATACAGTCATTTATTTATTTATATGCAAAAAAAGGCTGGAATTAAAAAGTTAACAGATAATGCCAACCCAGGTTATTTGAAGTAGTGACAAACTTTATCTTTCTAGGCTCAAAAAATTTGATGCAATGTTCATTAGGTCAGGAAGAGTCAGAGTGACTGAATAATTGAACAAGAACAACTGTGTGTAGGACTGCTGCCTGAAACTCATATAATTAAACTGAATATGTTGGGTAATGTTCCTAATTTTAAATGGAGTTCGAAGTCCTCACCTAAGATGGCATCCCGAAATCCTACTTCAATATTCCAGGATGAGCAACATCTTGATGTCTGCTATATCTTTTTCTTCCAATTCTAAATTTGTCTTGCTCCTTACATCATTTTGATTCTTTATAGCCTTTATAGTTTGAGCTGAGTAAAACTCAAACTTCAGTTTTGCTTTCCCATTTTGCTGGCAGCAAGTTCATACTTAACTTTTTTTTGCATCAGTTTATGGATTTGGTAAAAAAACAAAAACAAATCATGCATGAAAATTCAGATTACATTTATTCCCAGTGTAATTTATTCCTAAATTTTCCTTTTTACAAGCAGTATTGTTTAATATATTGATTTTAATGCATTTTGCTTACATAACCCTTTTTATCCAACTTTCTTATTACAGTCATTTTTGTAATAAAGCAAATCAAAGAATTCTGACAAGTGTGGACTTCAGTGAACCTCAGTTCACTCAGAGTTTGGGAGATACAAACTGGATGTCAAAATAAAAATTTGGAATGAATCTTTACTTATAGAAAACTGAATGAAATTGACATTTATAGATTATTTTCATGGCAATTCTGCGCCTAATTTAAACACTTACAATTTACCCTGTATAAGTCATTACTTCAGCCACAGGTTCATATTTGAAAAATGGTAGAAATAGTTTAAGTAAAGGAAAATTACGCAGTGGCAGTAGGTCATCTTAGATTCATCTCCATATAAGTAGCTGTATCTTGTCAATAGAAAACATCAATATTTTTACGACTAACATGTGAAAGCTAAGAGCATTAAAACTAAATGGTCAATGTATGTATTTCTTAAAAGGCTTAAGGGGAGGGGGTAGAATCATCTTTGATTTAACTCTTTTGGAAAGCAGAGTCTTTCTAGTAGTTTGATCAGTAGGTTCTGCTTTAACTGTGGCACCTAATACAAGAAAAATATTCATAGCAAAACACTTCATAAAACTAGCACCCAACAATTTCAAACTGATTTAAAAAATGCATAGGTCTCACAATGATACATCAGGATAAATTGGCACACATAAATTAAACGCAAAACAGACCTTAAAAGGTGACTCAACTATTGCAAAGCTATTTTTTGGCTTAAACAGATTTATAGAAAATGGACAGAAAAAAAAATCTTGTACCTCATCTCCCTCTTGTGAAGATGACTGTGCTCCCCAAAAGCCTCTCTAAAGTGTTTCTCTTAATTGAAGGAAGGGTTGAGGAATTGGTGGGAAAAAGAAACTATTTAAGAACTGAACTTCTTAAAGCAGTTTTCAGGGGAAAAAACACATTATTCAAAAGAGGATTGTTTGAGGAAGAAAGAAGAATTAGAGGACTTAGAAGGTTTGCGTAATAGAAGCATAATGGTGAAAACAGAGGGTAAGATGAAACAAGGAACAAAGAGAAATAAAAGATGAAGGACAGAAGACACAAGGCTATGTGATCTTTGTTCAAAACAGTTATGCAACTATTCTTAGGCTGCTGGCTCAGCTGTTAGTTACCTTGTAATCTGGGACAACAAAAAGCCTCCCCATCTTCTAATTCTTGGAAAACAAAACAGAATATGCCTGCTTGAGATGTGTATCAGCAATTATGCAATTTGGTATAGTACATCCCTCCTTCTTCTCACCATAATAGAGATGAAGATGGATGAATTGATTACAGTGAAAGGGGAAAAAATATTTGGACTTAATGAATGTGTCCACAGTAAATATAAAGCTGAAATTGGATTCCTGTTAGAATTGCCAGAAAAATCCAAAACCAGAGCACAGTGGCTAAGAATACGTATAAATATCTCAGTTAATAGTCTAGTTTGCATATCATGCTACGTCATATCCAAACAAATGATATTATGGCTTACTTTGATACATGAATATATGTGTGGTTTTATTAGACCAAAAATAAGACTTGGGCCTCATTTTTTCCTCACATTATAATTACGGTGACCATATTTTCTTGGAAAAAATAAAGGACAAACTTGAAAAAGGGGCATATCTGAAAGAGGTTCATAAGGATAATTTTTTTTATTTTTATGTTTATAACTTTGCTTTACAAAGGAAAATTCAAGAGCAAAACCAAGAAAAACTTTACAAAAACGCATATTCTAATAAAAATAAAGAGCAAAACCAAGAAAAACTTTACAAAAACGCATATTCTAATAAAAATAAAGAGCAAAACCAAGAAAAACTTTACAAAAACGCATATTCTAATAAAAATACCTGAAATCAAACAGTATATGTAAATTTATTTTAAAAAGAAAATTCAATTTCTGTATTTTTCACATGAATATGAAAGACTGTGGTACCATTTGTACGGTAAAAGTTAAATC